CTTTTTGTTTTTATTTCACACTGTGCTGCATCATACAGTGACATACAGCTTTTCAAACTTAAAGGTAGCAGCCAGTTTTGTTTTATTGGAAGTAATGAAAGTTGTCCAGCGTGTGCCCCGTTGTGGCTGCGTCGCGTTCAAATCCACTGATTATGTGGTTTGTTGGGTCGTCGTCGGCTTCGGGGAGCCTTCAGGTCTGTCTCTGGTTACTTTCCACCGCTGCTGGTCGCTTGTCTCATGTGCACATTAGCAGCGCCGTGAGTCGGTTTGTGTCTGCGTGCGGATACACGTGCGCGTACAGTCGTGTGCGGAGGGCGTTTAACTGCTTCCCCATGTGTTGCTGCTGCTGCTGCTGCTGCTGCTTGTGTGTGCTGGCGTGTGTGTGCATGTATTTCATGTGCATGTTGTGTGTGTGTTGGACCTGTTACATAACAGTAGACTCTTGGGGATAATTAAGTCGGCAGAAGCAGAATGTACAGTGTACACACACACACACACACACACACACACATCACATGCACACACAATTTGCGCTTACGATGGGAAAATGCATACAAACTGGCTCTAATGCATACGTTTAGCCGTGCCCTTTTTACAAAACATAAACAGACACAAACACTTTAAAGAAGATATAAGCCCCTCGACCCACACACACACACACACACACACACACACACACACACACACACAGAGCATGTTTTAACCACAACATGCCGAGCGAAGCGATGCTCAGACACAGTAACAATCAGCAGAGAGCCTCTCAGCATGTTTGTGTTTGTAAAAACTATTAAATTACAGCGTCCCCGGAGATCGTTTAAACACTTAAGCCACACTTAAAAATGCATGAATTTCCAGCCGTTGGATTACAGAATGTCAACGCCGATGACGTTCAGTCTACAGACAGATGGAGCAGGAGCACACTTGTCAAAGGAAACATCAAGTTTTGTCACATTTTTTAGATGATAAAACAGTCGATATAAAGCTGGATGTGAAGGAAACCGGCTTGTTTACCGAACCGGGCGTCGTATCGTCGGGTTTCTGTAGCAGCGTGTGTTAAAGCTGTCCGTCCATCCATGCTGGATGGGCTGATTTATGGGATTTAGTCTTTTTCTCTGCCGGTTCCACCTCCATGTTCTCCTGGCCTTCCCTGCAGAAGCTTTGCACCATCACATCCACGTACGTTGACTCCAAAGCTGAAATCTTTGTGTGCTTTTGCAAATTTTAAATCCTCGCTGTCTTATTCTTTAAGTTTATGGATGCAGCACTCTGGAGCTACACTTACTGATACTTTGAATGGTCTGTGAACTGACCATCTCATTGAAGTCGCCTGTTTTTCTTGATTTTACGCTTGACTGAGAGGTCCAGTTGACTGCTGCTCTTTCTTTACCTGTACGACCTGAGTTGTCAGTAACAAACGCTATTTTTTTTTCACTCTTTGACAGCTTATCCTACGGAAACCCAGAAGGGACAAACAGAAAGGGAGAAAAAAAACAGGGAGGGGGGAAAAAAAATCGAGGTATCTTATGGAAGATCTCGCAGAACTTTCTCGGGAAAGTCATCAATCTTATTGGACGCTTTGTTGCTAAGCACTGCTTGAATGTCTTTTTGTTTTCGGCCGAGATCAAAATAAAAATCTCGAACAGGTGGACGTCCTCCATTGTCGTTTCTCCATGCTGCCAAAAAGACTCAGAAGTATATACTGATAGTTTCTTCTTCTTCTTCTACTATAGATTTGGCGGTTGGCATCCAACATTCAGGTGCATCACTGCCACCTACTGGACAGGAGTTACCTTTAGTTTTGCAAGATCTCGCAAAAGTTATTACGAGATCCTGAGAAAGTTTTGCGAGATCTCTTAAACGATACCTCTATTTTTTTTTTCCCCTCTCCCTGTTTTGTTTTCTTTGTCCACGTCCCTTTCGGGGTTCTGTAATATCCAACTGTGGAGGATGGAATATTGAGTTTCTTGAAGATCTGACAGCCACAGTGGCCTTGACTTGTCTTTGCCATCTGTGCAGTTGCTTTGAACCGAGCAGTTCTAGTGGACGTTTCACTGCATTTCACAATCATAGCTGCTTGTTGCTATTCAGGGAGGTCTGCTCACGCTGAAGCGACGACGTGACTCAGTTATTTTTGTGGATTTCTTGTTGTGCTGCTTTTTTTTTTTTCCAGTCCAAATCGGTTCTCCATATATTCAGTGTACGTGGTAGGAACGTGATAAGATTTAGGACCGATGCACTTTTGTGGTTCCCAAAGGAAGTGTTACTTTCAGTGCGATGTTTTCTTTGGGGGTTCTGTGGGTGCAGGAACACAAATGAAAACCAGGTTGCTTTGGTTTCTGTACTTCTTGATGAGAAAGTTTTGCATTGAAGACAATGTATTATTACCCTACTAAAGACCCCTTGTGGTGAAAATAAAGTTTTTTTTAATCTTGTCAGCATGTCCATGAGGTGTTTTGTTAGATGCTAAAAGATCATGAGTGAAATAAGCAATGGCTGAGCATTTCCTTCTTGAAACTTTGGTGAACCAGAAGCTGGAGTTTCATCCCTAACAAACCAAAGGAACCGATCCTGTCGTCAATATTACTCAACAGAATCAGAGAACATGTGAGGCTGAATTTTTCCAATATTACAACTTGCTATTGTGTAGTTTTATAGTGTTTGACAGAGTCACAGGTGAGCTGGTGTGCTCAGCTGCAGCGAGGAAGAAACAATCTTAAGTTACATCAAAGCCATTTTCCGGCATAAACGGATTATTTTCATGGGAAAAAATATATGAATAACGACAGTCCACTCAGCCAACATAAAATTAGACATTTTATTTTTCTTGCTTTTATTCTTTTCCCTTCTCGAAAAGAGAAGTATAGCGGTACACTTTGTTTCATAGAAAATGGAAGAAGAAAAAAAAAAGGAAAAACCCAAAAAAGAAAAGAAAAAAATCAAAAATGACAACAACAACAAAGTTATACATTTTATTTTCCATTTTATAATTTTTGTTTTGTGTTTTCTTCCCACGTTTCGGAAGAGTAATACTGTCATAGAAAAATACTATATTACATAGAATAGAACTTTACACAGTTTGAAAAAAATACACAATATCAACGTGTACATTATCAACAGCCCAATCCCGAATCGCAATAAGGTTTGACACGTAAACATGTTTTAAAAAACGCAAACACATGTAACAGGCTTTATGCAAAAGGTTGTCATGTAATTATCAGAAATTTGAACCATGTTTTTTCTTTTTAAATATGCTGGGAAACATTACTTTCCGTATGTACAGTCACAGTTACAGCTGGCTGGAAGTCCAGTAATGAAGTTTGTTCGTGTTTACAGTAACGGCAAGAAGCTCGTTAGCAAGTGGTTACGTTAGCTGCTCACAAACTGAAATTATATGGATCATCTGCTGATGTCTAGCAAACCAGATAATATGTCTAATTGTTAAATGTAGTTCCTAGGCAGTAATCTAATGTTTAGATGAAACCACAAGCTGATGGTTTGCTTACTAGATGTCATAATTAGCATGTTACCTGTGGTTACCTTGGCAGAAAACAGCTGGCTAGCTAACCCTGAATCAATGACTAAGTAACCGTAGCTTTTCTTGCAACAGGAATATTGTTAGCTGATTAGGTATTATGGCCGATTAAGTAGTTTTTAGTGCAGAAAGCTAGTTTGTTAGCTCAACAGTCTGGCTAGTTTACTGCAGTTTTAGCGTAATGCTAATTGCTAGCTAACCAAATGTCACGTGTAGCTACATAACTGTAGTTTTCAGGGTGAAGACTATTTATCTGAGCATATTCTATAATTAGGAAATGTACCGTTAATTTTCCAAGCAGGTAGCTAACTGCTAGCCTGGTATAGTTTGCTAGCTGTACCTAAGTTAAGCTAATGGTTTGCTGACAAGCCACCGTTAACTCTTATCAAGCCAATAGGCTAATATTTAGCTAACCATATTTAAATGGTAGCTGTAGTTTTCTGGGCAGTATGACCAGATATTTTTTTGGCACACATTTAGCATTATCAGGCAAATATAAGTCATTTTTGACTTGTACTACTGTGTTCAGCGCTTACAGACATAGCTTTTGCTAATAATTCGCAGCTGAGACTTTCCTACATAGCCACTGTAGGCTAAAAAAAACCCTGAAATCCTCCTCTGACCTCAAAAACTGCTAACAGACGGGTGTGACCTAACAAAAACAGTAAGAAGTAATCGTAACTTCCCCTCTCCAAATTAGAACAACGAGTAAATAGCTGGCTTACGTTGCACAATAACAACCCACGCAGCTGAAACGGCCACACGTGCTCCATCCTCAACAGGAAGTCATGATGGAAACACGCAGCTGCCATTAAGCGGACGGATTAACGCAGCCTAGCGCTCGCCGAGGGATTTCAACCAGCAGCCTCTCGGTCAGAAGCGAAGGGGGGATCCTCGTTTAAAGCTTCATGTCAAGATGAACCGTAAATGCACAATACATTTGTGTGTGTTGAACGGGCGCAGGCGGGAAAGGCAGCCATGTGAAAGCGTCTTACCGCGGCTGATGATGTAATGAATGTAGGATTATGTAATAACTTGTCCGATGTGATGACATCGTTTAATGGGTTCGGGGGGGTAATGACAACCAGCCAGCGTAAAATAATAAAAGAAAACTGTCGTAAAGTCTTCAGTGAATCATTTGTATTGTAACTTCAACATAAATGACAATAACAGGAATCCTACTTTGTCAAATTGAATGTTTTGTCATTTTTTACATTTACTCCATCAAGTGTAAATGATTACATCACATAGCTGGGATGATTCTTTTTATTTTTTGTAATATTTCCTTAGCTAGCATTGGGACGTACGATTCTGGATTGGGCTTTAAACTGACCTTTGATCCAGAAATGCATAGGGAGTATGGGCGACCACACACACACACACACACACACACACACACACACACACACACACACCTACATACATACATACATACATACATACATACATACATAAAAATCAACGGAACAATTCGGAAGGCTTTTCTCAGCATTTTCATTTTTTGACGCTTTACAAAACTTGTTTTTTTTTTTCTTATTATTTTTTTGTTTTGTTTTGTTTTGGCCACTTGATATTGCGTAATAAAAAGCACTCGGACAAGTTTGTTCGGGTGTACATGAAAATACTTACAGTGCATGGTATTCAACAGTGTGCTTCTTATTTTGTAGTAAGTGCTTAAAAGTCCTTTTTTTTTCTATTTTTCTTTTTCTTCTGTATGTGCGTGGAGTGTTTTCTTTTTTGTTTTTTTTTTAAGTCTCGTCCGGGTTTCAGAAGGCCCACAGCCCTAGAAAAACATCACTGTACAATGAAATGTACACCAGCTACTTGTGTTTCTCTCACACACACACACACACACACATGCTCATACAGTATATGCTCCGTAGGGAATAAAAACCTGACACCCAGAGATACATACATATAAAACATGCATGTATATGGTAACGCGCAGAAACCTCGACGGGAAACTTCCAGGCTTTCTCATTCGCGCACACGAGGGTGTTGTGGACGGGGGCAGCTGGATTCTAGCTGTGTTACGTAACAATGTGAGGAAAGAGTGACAGCGAAGGAGAGCGAGAGAGAGAACAGAGGTTGCGATTGTTCTTAAAGTTTTCCAATCCTTCAGAGGACAAAGGCTATTCTGTCCCTTCTCTCTCTCTGCACAAGTATTTCTCACATGTATTATGTATGTTGCATGTATTGTCTCTCCCACACACTCCCACCGTCTGCTGCGTGTACGTACACCGCTGTGCGAGCCTAGATCTCTACTTTATACTCCGGCGAGGATGTAAAAGTATCAACAGAAGCTGAAAAGGTGAGGCACAATGTGGTCGTCCTGCGCCGCCGAAAACTCTTTTGCAGAAATCTCGCAGCGGCCTCGGGTGCCGAAGCACAAAGAAATAAACCGAAGCTGACGGCCAGAAACGCAGTCATCTGCCGAGGAAATCGAGAGCAGCAGACCAAAGAGGCATAAAGCTAAGTTGCCGTAGAAACTGGAAGACGTCCAGCAGCGCCATCTGCTCGGGCCTGGCACAAACCAGCGGCGTACTCCTCTGCAGTCTGGACAAGAATGGTCAGATGTGGTCTTGAAGCGAGAAGCGAGCGCGGATGCCTGATAACACAAGAAGCTGGTCGCAACAAAAATAATAATAATAATAGCAGAAGGTGCTCCGGATTGGTGACTCACAATTTTAAATTTTAAATAAAAATGTAGCTAGCCTGCAAAAGGACTGGAGAGAAGGAGTCTGCAGGCATCACCGAAGCAGCCCTCGTAGGTTAGCTGCTCCTGCAAATGGAGTTAAGACTACATCCACAGACGAACTGTGAAAAGTTTTCCAGGATGAACTAAATCCAATTGCGCCCAAATGCACCAAACTTGGTGGCAACATCATGCATTGATTCAATTTAGGTTTTCTTCCAGTTGCAACTTGTATGGAGGTAATTTTGAGCGCTTACTTTTGCAGAGTACTGTACATACACGCTAACGGGGAAATAAAAAACGTTACCATCTGACCAGTTTTTCCTCTGTCGCACACACACTCACACTCACACACACTTAGCCAAGTGCAGTAGGAGGGTAGCGACAGCCAGTCTCATTTCAGCTAATCCTCGGATAATTGGAGCAAAGACAGTTTTTGGCAGGAATTGGGAGAAAATCGTGAAAAACAGGAGGTGAAAGAAGTGGAAGGAATGTCTGCTGCTACCAAACTAAAACAGGTGGTGAGGAGTTGTGGGAGCGTTGAGGAAAAGTCACTAAATGACAGGTTTCTTCGAGTCTGTGTTACTACAACACCACATGCCGGAGTTGGAAAGTCGATCGGAGCTATTCGAGGTGCTTTACGTTGACATTAACGGCCACGAAAATGTCCCAGGAGGTTAACGGCGTTACAGGATAATTGGTTCTTTGTCTAAAATAGGTAAAAACATCCAATCAGAATGTTTGAAATCTACGCGTCTAACGGCGGGCGGGAGGTTGCAGCGTTGGAAAATCAATGCATTCGTTTTGAAATCTGTCATTTTTTTGGATATAATCTGTAACTTTTGAATTTGCTGCAGCTCTGATTTAAAGTTTTGGCTTCTTCACTGTTGCGACGACTGCTGAGGCTCAAGGACAGGAAGGAATGTAGCAGCGATAGATCGACTAAGCCATTGATCAGACTGATAGAAAGCTGTTTTAAACTGAGCGGCATTGGCTGCCAATTGGTCAGTTTTGCCAACCTCAGTGGGTGCTGTGAGACAATGTGCCCAACCTGGATGTGATGTAACCAGACAATAAGTAGCGTATGCAGTGTTTACCGTCTGCATAATTAGATTCTGGTATGTTAGTGAGAAACATGACTTGGTAATTGTAATTTATCAGGCCTTCAACTGGATAAACTCGTTTATAAGGCTCCAACCTCCACTCCTACTCTTGAAGAGCTCTCGTGGGAATCCATACTGGTCATTAGGCGACCAGTATCTGTCCACCGCTATTATTTAGGGCCATAAAACATGATTTCTCAGGAAGAGCTGCAGTAATTAAGTGGTGGCTGTAACATAAACCTCATATCTACTGTCTCCATGTTCAGCAACACTGAGAACATCACAAAAAAAGAAAAAAGAGAGAAGCACCTTCCAACTTTTTTTGTAACTGCTGACAGACTTATTAGTCTCTGTGATGTTTACCTAAAGCGACTGTACAAAAAACAAGGGACAGAATCTAGTTTTTCAGCAATAAAAAAAAGCATCTTGAAGCTGAAGGTTCAGCAGGTTCTGGTGGGCGCCTCTTCAGTCACAAAGGAATAAAACGCAACCAAACAAACTTGAAGACGTAACGACAATCTGAACGGTTTCATGTCCTCAACCTGTGCTGTTCAGTTAGAGTGTGTGTGTGAGAGAGAGACTTGTCCATAGTCTGGTGAACTCAATGTGTCTGCAGATGAGGCCGTAAACTTTGTTCATCGCCTATGTGCTGCAAAAGTTTCCCTTCAAACCCAACAGCAGCAGTGATCTATAGACGCGTGTCGTTTTGAAACAGCTGTTAAATGTGTCGTCGTAAGTGATGGATGAGATCTTCCAGCAACAAAGAGGATGTCACTTGGTTTGCTCATCTTTTCCTGTTTCATCTCAGAGATGGCACATGAGGAAGACTAGGAAGTGGTGTAGCCTCAAATCTAGATGGGAACCCTCAAAAATCTAATTCTCTTCAATAATGTCTTCGCTGTTGCTCTGCTTTTGATGAGTCAGCATCGGTCTTAAGCGTTGCCGCTGCCTGCCCAGAGCTAACGTCGATGGCTGCTTGTGGGAAAGTGGCACCAATTTCACACATTTACTGTAAAGTTTAGCCATGTTGGATAAACATGTGCCCATCCATGGTTCTTTCAACCATCTGCTTTAATTAGAGACTCCGAAGCTTTAGCTCTGTTTGTTGTTGGGGAAAAATGCTGCTTCATTCCCGTTTATCATCACCAAGAGGCTCACAGTGTAAAATACAGTGTTGAGGCTGCTGCTGGCAAACACACGGGCTCCTTGATCTTGTATGGCAACGAAACTAAAGTCTTGTTAGTGCGACCCACAGCACCTCTAACGGCATGCTTGGGTGTTATTTGTGATCGTGCTGAACCTCAAACCATGACCTCTATTTAAAACGCATACATAGTAGCTACTGCTGTTTGACTTTGTAAGCCAGCAGTGAGATAAGATAAGATGAACCCAATGCTCTCAAACAGCCAGAGTGACACACTGGGCAAAGTCTCAGTACTCTGCAAAAAAGAAAAATACGCAAAAGGTCAAAAATCTGTGTTAGAAGTTAATGTTCTTCTGTTGGCGACAGTGTTTTCTTTCTCCTTCACACGCACCGCTGCCCATCTGTGCTGCAGCAAAAGTTGCTTTAAGCTTCCGTCGTACAAACACGAGTCCAAATCAGGCCCTCCCCTCATTTCCTCTCCTGTCTGATGATTGTACGAAACGAACAGCGGTTGTGAGGACGTCATCGTCTTAATCTTGTAACGACGGCACAAATTTAGATTTCTATCGTCGCGGTGACATAATAGTGTTCAGTCCAATATAGAAGTCTGCCTTCACGCAACAGATGGAAAAAAAAAGGGGGCCGAATTTGACCATTTCCAGAAAATTACTGTAAGTAATGGTGAGGAAGCAGCAGCGTTTGAGCAGATTTTTAGCAGCATTGTTGGACTTCTACAGGTGGCTACATCTGTACAGTCCTGTATAAGCGGTTAATTCGATCTTCTGCTGAGCCTTCCATAAAACAAACGACATCTGCAAACGGGGCAAGGCCGTCTTTCTCTCTTCTCCTAATCATGCAAGTAGCTAAAATCACTGACAATATTGTGTAATAAGGCAGAACCTATGACCCTGACCCCTATTGCAGGTGTTTTCCTTTTGTTTTACAGAAAAATACTTCGTCCAAATCAGTAAAAGTGGCTCTTTAAAGTGCCAAGTAAGTGCTTCTTGATGCTGGGACGACACTGTGAGGACAGCGAGGCGGGAGTCAGGACAGCCTCTGGTGTTTGTTCTGTACTGTGGTGGTGGTATTTCCATAGAGAATATACTGTATGACAGCAGTTCAGCCCAGTGTGAACGGGGACGGGGTGAGCATGCAACGCTTGGATGTCCGTTCCAGTAGGAGTCTTTGTGTCTAAGTAGAATTATTGCAAGTCAGTGAACTGCGTTGTGTGTATGTGGGCCAGTTCCAGTCGACAGGTTTATTCTTCGTAATCCGTTATTGTATGTATCCTGCCTGAGCGTGACAGAATAGATGCATGTGTGTGTGTGTATGTCAAGAGATTCAGCTGTGTTGTTGTTGTTGTTGTGTGTGTGTTTGTTACAGGTCTAGTGGGTGGTCTAAAGTGTTGTTATTGTCCTCTGGATCATCGTTGGCCAGCGGGTTGCGGCTGATGACCAGCTCCAGTCTGTCTCCGGCCTCCGTGATGAGAGGCACCGCCAGGCAGCAGTCGAAGTCCCTCGTCCTCACGTGGTTCACCTGGACCAAGACGGAGACACACAGAAAACGGCTGCTCTGGTAAGTGACGCTACTGTTGGTTCATTTTCTAGCAAACAAAAACTAACTGTTGCCGAAGGTTAGACGATGAATCAAGATTACAACTCGGGTCTTATTGTTGTCATTTTAGTCTTTACATCCCGAGATCTTACAACATGGCAGCATTAATGAATTCAAACAGGTTGGCAGCAGATCCCGAGGTTGGCCAGGGGGCCTGTACAGATGAAGGAAGTTCATGGCTAACAAAGAGTTACTGATTAAGCAAGAGTTACTTAAACCCCACAAGAGTGCTGCTCCTGTCCTGTAGGTTTAACTACTGAGCCTGACATTTGCCATCATAAAACAATCACTGTCAACTAAAGGTTGACCTATTCTGCTAAAGGTGCTTTCATGTGACGGAGGCAAAGCTTTTAAAAAACAAAACAAACCAGCAACCGTGACTGCATTAAGTAATATGATACGAAACTGTGATATCTACGGATTGCTGTAGTTATAGTGGCAGCAAAGAGTGATACTGCTAAGGGTGTAATGTGAACAATATGTTCAGATAAATACAACAGAGTAAGATTAAAATATAGCAGTAATTTCCAAATATTAAAGCAAAGAAGAAAATATAAGGTTTGTCAACAAATGGTTAATGTGATGGGAAACAGTACAGACAACTGCAGGTTTAGCTTTTAGTTCATGTTATCCTGAGCCGCTGTGAAACTAAAAGAATAAGAATTAAAAAAAAGCTTCAACATCATCGGGTAACCTATTAGGAATGTAATAATCTTTGTGCAATTAAAATCTAGCTATGACCGTCACTATGTACATGTTTAATGTAATAAACTCTCCTTCCAAATGTTAGAAGTAATACATTATTTACAGTTTTATTTTGGCAAACAGGCAATTTGTTTACTGTGATTTTAATTTTAGAATTTCACACAGATTTGTTTGTTTAACAAGAAGCTTACACGATAAAAATGTTGATTTTCATTAGTGTGTAATATCTATAAGCAATGCTAATCTATCAAAAATACAGTTTTTATCATTATTCATATTGGTTATGTATCTATGTCGGGAATTGTAGTGTTTTTACACATAAAAATATCTTTCATTTAACATTAAAAAGCCAATAGAATAAGATTAAAATATAGCAGTAGTTCCCAAATATGAAAGCAAACAAGAAAACATCAACACATGATTAATGTAAGTTGTTTATCGCAAGTCATGTTTGTGTACAAATCTTAAAGCGTACATATTAGCTAAATGCCTTTCTGCTTCAACAGTCACTAACACAGATTAAATAGCACACTGAATAAAGAAATTCAACACATTATTTGTAACATCCTTTCATTGAACAAATCGCAGTTGTACTCAGGCGAGTGTTGGTAACATGACTAATGGCTTCCTGTGGAGTTTAACTGTAGTTGGTCTCTTTCTGTATAAACTGGTCCCATTTTGGTGATTTCAAGGACACGCACACAGGTGGTGCACAGTCCTACAGATGCTGCTACCTTATACCACCAGTCCTTAAGGTAGCACTAACATGCCAAGCAGAGGCAGGGGAGAGGAGTGCAAGCCAGCTAACATGTAAACAATTGTGTTTTTATAACAAGACAAATGCACTTGACCTGTTTGTTTGAGCTCCAGGACATAAAACCTGGTGAGTAATAATAAACAGAACTTGTGTTTTTTTAATGTTTTTAATGAAAACTCCACGGGGTATCTTTAACCTTGCAGTAAGGTGATGGAGCCGTGTTTGCTCATTAACAGAGAGGTGCAGAATTGAATAAATACGTGGCTAAAACAGTGAAGTTAAGGTTTAATTTGAAGGTGTGTGCTTGCATAATAAAGGAACTATAAACAAAATGTCGGCCTTTGTACTCACAGTAGTTGATTTTAGGGAGCCAAAATTCGAAAATAGGTCAAAAAGATGTAAATAAACTAAATTCTAACTATCAGTAGTGCACATCACCAGGTGCCTTTAGTATGTGATGCTCTCTCAGGAATGTGCTGCTGCCACCTTTACATCTCGCTTGTTTTGGGAGCTCTGCCAACAGCCAGGTGGTCATAACAGTGAGGGTTCTCGACTGTTGCCTAAATATGGATTTTATCACCTTCAAACAGTTTGCTGATTCTCTCACCTGCAGGATCCTGTCATAGGGTTTGAGCCCGGCTCGGTCAGCTGGCCCATCTGGTCTGATCATGTTGACGTAAACACCTTTCTCCAAAAAGCCGTCTGACACGCTGAAGCCAAAGTCATCGCTCTCTGGGTCCTTTATCACTGTTACCTGCGGAAGGACGATTCAAGGAGGTGGGTTTAGTGAAATGGCATCTTTTATATTTAAGTGTGTAGAAAGCAAATTCTTGAGGCTGCAATGGGGAGTAATGTGTCCAGAAAGTCATATGCTTGGAAAAAAAAAGACCACAAGTTGTATTCAAGGTGCCTGACACGTGCTCTCAAGTTTTCTCTCAAAAGAAAGAAAAAAAAAGGCAGAGAAAAGAAAATTAGACCATATTAAATGGGTATAATCAGTCTTTCAGGAGGCTAAATGGCTCTTTCATGAACGCCAGATTGAACATGCTGAACTAGCGAAAATGTCTGCACACGCGCCACAAAAAATACAGATGATGAGTAGCCGCAGATGCTAAATGTGTGCTTGTGTGCCAGCGACCTTGAAGTTAATCTAAAAGTTTCAACATCCAGCCGGTTTGTGAGACATTCAACCAAGTTTTGAGACTTGCACTGACAGCAAAATGCCTTATTTTCAGTGTCACTTGCTTCCTTGAAGTTTAACTGCACACCGTGGACTTTCTTTATTTTATTTTCCTGACAGAGGGTACACGAATTGATGCTGGCTGACTAAAAAGCACAAAAAGTTTTAGAGATTTATCTACACTGGATTGCTAATTAAATGCAGAATAAGCACACAATAGCCACTTCTTCAAATGATCCCTACACAATCCTTACAGGACAAATCCAAAACAGGAGTCTTAACAATCGCTAACACGGGCCAGATGTTTTTAAGAACTGCGGCTTAAAAGGAAACCTGAACAGGCAGCATTATGATATATGAATATTGCATGATCTTTTAATGAGACACCATTTAAGGCTGTAACATTCTGGCAGATAGCCAACGAGTCCATCAGTGAAACAGCCGAGGACTCGGTTCGCTTTAATGTATTTTCCCCCTGTGGATCATTCTGGCTCTGAGTAGAGACTCGCATGAAATTGTGATTGTAAATCCACAGGAGGGTTAAGACATGTAGCTGCCAGCGTAACAGTTGCCCAAGAGGGGGTTGGGCCACTAGACTGTACATTCTATACTGTATTACATAAGACCCCGCACTGTAAAAAATAATTGTCATTCTCAAACTCCAAAGAAAAGGTATTTTTTTTAAAGGCTTTTTAAACTTGAACCAACTCATTATCCGCACTAACTCACAGGGCCCTCCATAGAACGGCACCAGTTCTTTAGTTATTAGGCAAACTTGTGCTTTTTCTGCTGTGACAAGTCAAAATTTCCACTTTTAAGTTTGGAAGCAACCCATACGAAATGACTAACGAGTTCTGTTTTTTTTTGTCTTGACACATCTGGATGACGTGGTGGATAGATGGACAGCTAGTACCCTCGACATTTAAGAGAACTAGAGGTGGGCAGATTTTCTAAAGGACGCTGAAATTAGACTAGACTGATGTTTTGAGAAATCTGCTAATTCACATTGAAGTTACAGTTGAACCACAACTATTATTTGCCCGTGGTGTTTAGACACATGCAAAGTCTTGTATTGACTGTTACGCTGCCAGGCAGGGTGGATGGATTTGTCAAGAACTGAGCACAACTTACCCTTAAACCAACATTTATTTTTAATGAAGCTCTAGAAGGACTAGCAGTCATATTATACAATATCAATCAAAGGGACAAGCAAATACATGTATTTCCCAAAATGTCATGTTTCCTTTAAGCTGAGCCAAGTTATGTTAAGATATGTGAATTTTAACTAGAAGGCAACTGGAGGTCCTGGTATTTATTGTCACCCAAAACTCCCAGGAAGGGATGTCAGAACTCTATTGTATGAGGCTGACAGGGATGTTCCAGTTTCTCATAGTTTCCTTTAATCCTCATTGACTTCTCTGTCCTGAATGAGTGTCCCTTGACCTTCTGAGTCTTTTTCTAAGAAGTTGGCTCTCCTGTGTTTCCTCTATAGTTGTCTGTGCGCTCCTCACTTCATGCACAACTTGTATTTTATCAAAAATTAAATCTGCATTTCTCACTCTGGCCACACACGGGACTGAAGTGTTGTTAAACCTGATGTGCTGATGTTTGCTCCAGATTTCTTTGTCCTTCAAGAGGTATTGGTCTGTTTGTGTAGGTTTCTGGGTGACTTCAATGATGACGATTCCTTCATAGAAAGGACCACAAAAGGTGTTTTCCCCGACATCCTCCCCTGTGAATCCGATGTCGCTACCCATAGAGTTTACATGTATTGTGAAGGTTTCAGCTTCCTCAGTGTAGAGACTGGTCACCAATGGATGACACTGGAACCCGTGGCACAGCTGTGCTTTTGTCTGAAGAAATCCTCATTATGTTGGTTGTAAAGCAGAAAACATATCTAATTCAGGATACAGTTGGTTCTACGGTGTAAGAGATATCTTACAGTCATTTTCTGACAGTCTCCACCGCTTCAGATGTACAACAATGGCATGCTTCCATCTGGGGACAGTTTCAGTTTCTTGGCCTTGTTGACAAAATTGGTGAAATTATGGACTTTCTAACTTGAAGTGGTAAAGACTGTGGTGAGGTCTTTTGCAGTATTATAGGTGAACAAGTTAATGCTGGGTCTGATGGGTTTGAGTGGGGCTCCTTCTTTATGTACCTTCAGAAGTTCACAATCTTTGCACCACTGGTTGGAAATACTGGCCCTAGTTGAAGCCGTCGTACAATTCGATGTTACCTCAGTTTTCACCAGCATCAAATGTAGTGGAGACAGTCAAAAAAAGGTTCCAAGGTGGCTCTTTAAACAACTTGACCTTAATCAGACATGTGCCCTGTTTGACCTTTTGCCTGACAACCACCTATTTCAAGAACAATGAAGGGTTCTACAGGAAAAACTACAGCTGGGTTCTCCTGTGACACCCATTCTGACCAGTCTCCACATGGAGGACATGGAAAGCTCTTTCAAGGCAACAACACCCAGCCACTGGTTCAGACATTTGAATGACACCTTGGTCAATATCAAACCCAAGAAGTAGAAGCTTTCACAGAACATACCAACTCTGGACAGTAACATAAAGCTCACAAGGGAGGATATTCAGGAAAACAAGCTTTGTTTTGGGCTTTTCCCGTGTGCATTTAGAGAGGCAAGAGCATCAACGTTGACGTTTACCAGAAACTTCACACACTGACTAATACATTCTTTTTAACTCCCAACACCCACTGGAACATGAGCTGGAGGTTATCAAAACCTTACATCATGGGGCTGAGAATGTCCTACTTCATTAACACAGCAAAGAGATCTTGAAAAATCACAGCATCAACAGATTGAACAAAGTTGTCATCCCATACGTGGTTGGACCGTGTTAGAAATTCTAGAGGATTTTCTCAATGAGGATAAAGTACCACAATAAGCTGAGCAATGCTGTATATGCCATCCAAAGCAGCATGGAGTGCACAGACCGATACATCTGGGAGACTAAACAATTGTTTGTCTTAAACTGGAACTACGATCTCTAAACCAAATTTCAGCCATATTCAACGGAGTCCTGACATCCTCCCCCTGGTGGTTTCAACACCACTCACACCTTGGGTCATGTGTTGACTGACTGATAATAAATATCAGGAACTCCCCACAAGTCAGCGCTTAGGAAACCTATTCAAGAACCAAAAAGAACTACAGCACAAGTCTTTACTCACCTTGTGCAGCTCCAGAGGCGTTGGGGACAGGATTCCCTGCATCTCCTCTTTGATCCGACGAGACTCCCACGTTCTCTCCGATACTCTCAACGAGGCTTTAGGCTTGGGCTCGTGGTGCAGGAGCGGGGATTGGTTGTCTTGGTGGATGTGGCCCCCCTGGTGCAGGTGGGCCTCCTGGTTGAAATGAGCCTCATCGAGCATGTGGGGGTCTGGGTGGAATACAGGCGTGGGTGTTCAAATGATGTGTTTTATTCAAATGTTCAGCGAACAGCTCTTCCATGTTGGCAACATACACTCACCGGTGACTTAATTAAGCATAAATATGAAATCTAATGTAATCTGATACAACCACTCTGCCCCTATGAAGCGCTCACACGTTTCTGTTTTTGTTGATGTCAAAAAGGTGATGATTTTACTTCATGTTTATTATATATATGGAGGTCATAGTAGGCAGTGGTGGAGTTGCGGACTACATTACTGTGTTCTAATATTTTGTTTACTACATTAAAATAAGCGAGGAAGGAAAAAACAACACTATTAAATGCAAGGCAGTGTAGTGCAGCAGCACCACCCACTATGACCTTAATAATAAACCAAAAAGAATATCATCATTTTAGTAATACCTACAAAAAGAAACTGAGTGTATGGAACATTTTGTCGTGTATCTGTTCAATATTCAAGACAAACAGCCTCCCTTGGTTCTGTCACATCCGCCACTGACCTTGGAGGAGTTGGGCGCCTTCATGCAGGTGGGCTTCCTCGTGCAGATGGGCCCCCTGGTGGAGGTGAGCACCCTGGTGGAGCAGGTTCCCCTGGTGCAGGAGAGAGTTTCTCCGCAGCGGGCTCATCCTGCTGTGGCTCAGTATGGGCTCAGCTGGAGGCTTGTTGACACCATCTACACCCAGGCTGATGGCTGTGCCTGTCATGATGGACGCCTGCACAGACACATGCTTTAATTCAAGCTAATGCTAACACGACTGTGTTACAGCAGAGACGTGGATCTCTATTTCTCTGGCTGTGGCATTGATTGATATGGATAGACAAAAGTCAGTGCATAAAGATGTGTTGATGTTCTACACATAAGGCTTGTTATAGTCCCTTTGCCAAAACATACGGATAACCTTTAACAGCTGCACACAACTATTCATATGCAAATTCTAAATATCTTGAGGCTTTTATGTATTTGTTTTAACTTGTGTGCTTCTCCTTCCTGCATTTTGTATTCATGTATTTTACTACTGTGCAATAAATTGCCATTTTAAGATAAATAGAATGCTTGTTATTGGTTTTAAAACTGTGATAACTCTATTCTGTACATAAAGCTGGATCCACAGGGGTTACGCAGTAGCTTTGTCATATGCTGCTATATTAATAAAAGGTAAACTCGATATGCGTAGTCCTGTATTTGCTCTGTTGTACAAAGTAAATCAAATAATGTAGACTCTGGACAGTTTAATTAAATGACAATAAAACCTAATCACACATCCATTTAATATAAACAATGGGTGAAATCTTGTGACAGGGCTGTTTTTTAATTTTTTTTTCTTATTATTTATAAATCCACGTAAGTCTGTATTTTATCTTTAATGACTGCAAAAACAATGGTGACTGACCTCTATCTCTCTGAGTAGTTCTGACTGGCCGCAGGTCTCGAGGTCCTCCAGGGCCTGACACCAGAAGCTGTCGTCTGGATCCAACAGAATGCCGTCTGGTTGTTGGCCGATAAATCTGTGGCATAAACAAATGAAACAAGTTCAACAAGCCATTAAACAAAAACATATTTGAGCTCTGACTTGGCCGATCTGCCTTTTGGTATCACAATATAAATGTTTTTTTTCCCCCTGTAACATGAAACATTTTCTACCTGCAATTTCTCTAATAGTTACCTGACAAAATATCAAATGCATACTGTAAAACTGGATGTGCCCATTAAGGAAAAAAACCTTCTGCTCTTTTCTATTACTAACAGAGTGGTAGCGTCATCAGTAAAGCCAATGAGAACACAGAGCAGTGTCTGTAGAGGACAAGGCTATCTGCCCTGGTTAAATCCAACACGAGTAATCTTTTAACACTGAATGTCCCCGGCTGACAAGATTAATTCACTTTCACTGTGGAGCCGATTTTTTTTTTTTCTCCCTCACATCCTTCCTGTCTTTCTCCCCACCCCCAGCAGTGTTATATAACTCCAGTGAACGTTACTATCCTCACAAGGCTTAACCTCCTGACTCATCACTACACACACACACACACAAACAAACACAGATAGTCAGTCTGGCTGACTTCATGACTCAACCTCTACACTGAAATGTACACTTCATCATTAACTCTTGGTGCTGATAACGTCACTGTCAACCATAGGATAACGTTCTGTTTTAACGCAGAAATAAGCTCCCCACAGGAAATAAAGCCAGTGGCTATGCAGATATACAGTTAGGGGTGAAGCATAGTCAGACCTCGTCTCTAATTTGATGCAATGCGACAGATAGGTCTACATTTACACCCTTAGCTTTGCCTTTCATACTGTATGGCACTTGGGCAGGAAACGATGCCATGAAATAACTAGTTTTTTAATTAAAATGCCAAATACAACGTTAACCTACACAATTCTAACATCAGGACATAATGTAAGTAAACTATTACATCCAGTCCACAAGGCCTTTTAAATAAAATGGTGTCCTTAAACCCTGTGAACCCCAAGTGTTGCTTCTTTCACATATTAATTCGGTGTAGGCTCCTTTTTAATGGAAACACCACCGCTAGAAGTGAAGCGAAATGACTTGAATTACTTAAATTACGTTTTGATAAAAAGGTTGAATCAACATGTAAAATATTTTTCCTGCTGCCCACAGGTGTTTCATTACTGGATCCTATAGATATTTTACTAATTACACTTTAAATTGGTTGCAATACATGTCTCCTCTGAGCTCTGTGGAAACCATTTTTAGAAGGGAGACACATAAAATACTGCAATTGTGATGAAATACCAGGATTTTAAGCTAATATTTGGCAGATCCCAATGGATGGAACGGCACATTAATAATTATTATTTTTAAAACTCCCCTGCGGGTTGTAGGGTTTGAGCCAATTTACTAAAAATGATCTAATCTTTAGGTCATAGCTAAGCATTGTGAAAACCAAGCTACAGTATTAAAGGAATCCACTAGTTTTAATTAATTCTAGTTGGATACAAAAACAAACGAACAGATTACTGAAAGTTTCCCTTACATTTAAGTTTTATATGACCTTTTAGAGGTACAGCAGTTTAAAGACCTTTTCAATAAGTTTGCAAAAATCGATGCAAACCTTACGTCCAGTGTGAATAAAAAAGCAAGTGTGCATCATCTGATTTTCATGCAGCGCAACACTGATCGGAGGCTACTGTCCTGCTGGAAGTAAACAAACAATATTGTACATCGTGTAGCATGCACTACCGTAAACACAGACAGAAAGACTGTGTGATTTCCAGTAAAGAAGGTAAAACTCAGTTCAATCCTACCCTGGAGGTTTATCCCAGTCGTCCTCACTGAAGCCTCCGTCGCTGAACGGATAGTTCTTCCGGCGTCCAGGAGGAGGTGTGGTGCTGCGCTGCTGCTTGGCACTACGCCACTCGTGTGGGTGAAGGGCGATACCAGCTGCTTGATGGCTGTACGTACCTGCAGGAGGAGAGAGGGAAGGCCAGACAGCGCTCATTCATAGATTGCTACTATACATGAATATGAAGGTATTTTGGAAAAACAGATGCTGAATGTCAGTATTTCACTATAACCATCCAATGGTTTTAAAGATATAACAGACAAAATACAATAATTTGCAGTAAATATGTTCTGAATTAGAGACGCAAAACCATTTTCGTATCCAGTAGTTGTCATCAATCACACAACAACACAGTCTAAGTGACTCAAACCTTTTTCATATGCTAGAACAGCCGCTGCTACCACAGGAGACAGCACCGAAGAGAAGCATATGCCCCGAGGCTGTAAGAGCGCCGTTTTCCTGGACTATAACGGTTAACAGCAATTAATCCCACACTTACCCTGGCTGCCATAGCCTGCGTCCAGCCCTGAGCCGTCCCATGACTCCATGGCGGAGTCAACGCTGGGTATGGTGGTGGAGTAAAGCTCCGATAGCTTATTGGTCTGTTGGCTGTCTGTCAAATCGTCCTCCTCGGGGTCGCTGACCTCATTCTCTGTCGTGTCCTCCACCTCTGCTCCCTTCCTCTCCTCCAAGTCTTGGAGAGAAAAAAAGTACAAAAAGTAAACAACAACAACAAGCCGGCTTTCAGACTCAAGGAGGATTCATTGTACAGCTGGATGGAAACAATAGATTGCTAACATTCTTTTATTAAACCTTTTTCTGCATGTACACTTTTGAAAAACCCAATTAGATGCTAGTAGGAGACAACCTGTAGTCGCTTTACAAGTAGCTGAAGCTAGCACTGGCTAGCTAACTGACCTTTTCACTGCATTTTCCTACAAGAAAAGCATTTCGATGCTAAAAACTAGTCTTTCTGAGAGACTGAGTATCTGTCCGTGGGACCCACAGGAACAGAACTGTTTGGTGAGTCGGTGATGTTTTCATACACATTGATCTGTTATCTCGAACATAACCTGAACAGTACCTTGTTAACCCCAAATCCTGCTTCGTAGAGCAGGCCTCTGATAGACGGCTTCAAGAAGATCAACAAATAATTTATACTGCCCGCACCAGACGTCAAACTAAGATACACATAATAATAAGTACACAGGCACTCATTAAGCCTCATCACACTCACTGTCAAGCTGTTTTTTAATCTTGAGGGTGACCGTCTCTCCAGCCATCTGCAGCAGGTGGATGGCTTCGCTCAGCGGTTTGCCTTTTAGACTGACGCTGTTGATAGCCAAGATCCGGTCACCTACATGTATAGCCCCTGTCCTGGACACACACAAAAAAAAACACACAAATTCACACACACACATAGGCAACATGATACACACAAAGAAGAATTTTTTAGTATTGTACCCACAGAGGACAGCAGTTTGGCTCAAAGCCTGTTGTTTTAAATGTGCTATATAAATAATGGGGACTTGAATTGAGGTTAAATGTTTACATGTGATAACTCAAAACCAAACGTTTTTGTTTTTAATAAGGCAAATGTGTGTAATTTGGTAATAACCCTTTAAAATTCTAAAAGAGCCTATTTTTCTCAATACTAATAAAACAAGATCATAATTGATGCCAAAATACCTTTCAAATGGCAAATCGGTTGCAGATAAATCAAATAGAAGGACTGGATAAAGATAAGAGATGAAAAACTGCACTGTTTGAGTTTGTGAATTTAATTAGAAGTTACTAATGTTCCAACAGAACTCATGTAAAAAACAAAAACACACGATTGGTCCAGGGTCGCAGCAAAGTGACTCAGGAAAGGATAACATCGGCTCCGTTTAATCCCACTATCAGTGCCCGCTGTATTAAACCTGGTACGGGACGCACACCAATCTTTTATCTTGTGTCCCACTTTGACTGAGATATCATTCATTCTGAGGTCTTACCTCACACACAGGCTCATGTACAAGAGATTAAAGGCGGGGAAGTGTGTGTTTGAGGAAAGCAGGGTTAGCCTTTCTGGACTCTATATCTTCGGTTTGCATTTACCTTGGCTGCTTTACCGAAACGAAAGCTCTCACATGGCTCAAAGGAAAACTGGGTCGGCGACGTTGATATCATCTGTAGCCCTGCACTTTCTTCTGTGTCAAGCTGTGCAAAGTTTATTTATAGTGCTTTTAGCCAACAGGTCTGAGGCAAAGTGCTTTATCGACAACAGTTTAGAATAGGAAATAGAACAATTACATCACAGACTCCAAGAAATGGGGTCGCCGAGTGTGTGTGTGTGTGTGTGTGTGCGAATTTGGAAGTGAATCAGGGTAAGCAGTGTGCGGCCTCCACGGGTGTGTTTTAGGTGGAAAACCACATGAGCCTGTTATAAAACCTGACATTTCCTAGTAGAAAAAAAAAAAGGTGCTGTGTAGTGGACTGGATATAAGGTGAGTTCACCAGTGGATGTTTTAAGTCTCAGGGAAACTATTATGTCATCTTCTGTTCAGCCTTGTTGCTGAGGAGGCTGGCCGCTATCCCATCTCAAGTTTCTCATTATCTCATCTGTCATCGCTTCCTGTCAAATGGCATCTGCTGCACACTCGGCTGCTGGTAGGGAATCCCTCTATTTATTGCTCAAGGCCCCTTCTATCATTTCTCCTAATAAGGTTATTACCCCTGTAACAGCGAAGGCCTAAATAAGGCAACGTGAGTTGGTTCCCTCTTAGGTGGGTTTAAGTTTCTGCACGTGTTGCCATGATACCACAGAGTGATGGCAGAATTTGTCCACTTTTTTAAATCTTGACATGGATCTTGCACATACAAGGTAATAGCTCCATTTCAGACACGCTTGGGTTTTGATTATGTTGTTTCTACAGGATCAACCTTTGATCTACAGTCAAGATATTTACCCCTAAGGGGGATAAGTATCAGTGATTGTGTTTAATTATCTCCCACAAGATGTCGACCTGTATACGTACATTTGCCGTGTCCTGGATATGAATGGAAAATACAGTAAACAAATATGGCTATCTGTTATCTTACTCATTGATGGGAGCAAATACACCACTAAATAAATAAAGTGCGGCTGTTAAAACTATATTTAACAATATGCCTGCAGACTCCGGTCATGTGGGTATTACAGATTGAACACTGGACTCATTATATAATGTAATGCACACATTGTGCAGCCCTTGCCATATCTAAAAAAGCCTGTGTCTATATTTGTGGGAGTCTTTGTACGCACATTGATTTTGGTCACTTTGAAGTCAGAGGCCCTTGATCATGCCACGGGACATTATCCATGCAAAAGGGCCATTAGTCACAATGTGGATGCAAAGGAAAGTTTCAGAGAAGCAAATATATCCATCCACCAACCACAGATGTGAGGAAATATCGAACCACGGCTGACACAAATTTCCAGAGAGGACAGTGACGGTTTGTCGTGGTAAAAAATTAAAACGTTGAAAGATTTACCCAGTGAACATTTACGATACGCTTTCTGCTGACATTAGATATTAATGCTGCTAGTAGAAGGGGTGTAGATTGCCCATGTGAGCTCACTTGACCCATAAAGTACAGTGCACACCCACATGGTGTCTCTTGAAAAGAAACCCAGCGGAGCTGCAGATGAGCTGTTTCATGTTGTGTAGGACGATGTGCGGGCTCAGGCTCTCAGTGAATGAAGATTTATGCTGGTTCATCACCGCTACTGATGGAGCACAAATCGTGTTTCTGGAGTGAAATCATTTGTACGTTTGACACTTTGAATGCTGATGAGGCACAGCTGTAAAAGGGACTCATCATATTTGAATAATATCGAGTTTTCCTATAAACAAAAGCCATGTTTATAGACAGTGTCGCTCACTGACATCCACTGAGTTTATCCCTAACAAACAAGTTCAGTACATTTGATCCTCATACAAGTTTTTAAGCAAATCACTGTTTACATCCTTGTTCATAAGCGGGTTTTGTTTCCAGCCTTTATTGCTGATTTTTTATGCTTCTTTCTGCATTATTACCGCCAGAGGCCTGCATCGGAAGCAACTTCAGCTCAGTCTCTTGGTGTTTTCTTTGGATGAATTCAGTTTTATCTTCCATAACTGCCATTAAAATGTACGTACACGTTGAAGATACGACTATTTGTGAGGCATCACGCTCCAAAGCTGGTAACAAACTGGTAAATTGGGATTTACGGAAAAAAGCTAAACTTATTGATCAGAAGAAACATCATCAGAATTAGGAACAAAATACCGAACATGATATGAGTTAAAGCAATAACTAATATACCCATTAACAATAACTAGAAGAGAATCAGATTCTTCATTGTCACGTGTGAAACTCCAAATATTTAAGCAAGACCACTGATATAAACAGATGCCAGGTTTATCATATGAATCTTTAGTGAAGAGTGATTATATTTTGTGTTGTCTAATGATGCACAACGTACTCTGAATATATGATGTAATGCACATGAAAAGGTTTTCAGTTACGTCAGACTGTTTCTGCTGCCAAAACGGAGATGAATGGAGAGAGGAGGATAAAAGAAAGAAACCACCTAACAAAAGTGTGACATTTAAAATCATGAGGAAATATTCAACAATGTGTGGATTATGTATTTTTAATAAAACAAAAACAGAGAGGGTTCAGTGTTGATTTCCAATTGCCATCAAAGACTGTTCATTATTCTGAGCTGCGGTGATGCAACACGCGTTGAAAAGCGTCAACGCTGTCAGAAATCCTGCAAGAATGAAAGAGTCCTTCAGCGAGATCAGTAGAAGAACATCACAGGGTTCCTTTGAGAAGCATCAAGTCAAATTTATTCTAAATTCTGAATACTGGGTTGGTTTAATTTTTTTGATGCAGCTGGTGAAAAAACAACTAGTTGCACTGCTAGTATTGGTTAATTTGCAAGCTGTTGAACTGGTACTGAAACTATGTGTCCTAAATCTGTAGCTGCAGTGTCTTCTCTTGTCCTTTACAGCACAAACTAGCAACCTAGATTTCCAAGAAAAGAGTGTGTGTGTGTGTGAGAGAGAGCATGTACCTCTCAGCAAGGCCTCTCTTGGTTAGGCCTGATATAGTGATGGGGTCAAAAGGCTCCTCGGTGCCTGAGATGGTGATACCCAGAGGGCCTCCGTACCGCTTCAGTTCCACTGTGTAGATAATGCTGCCTGACGTCTCCTGCTCATCTGATACACACACACACACACAGAGACACACAACCATGTACGATATTCTTAAGTTTCAACTTGCTGCTCATTTGATGCACAAACACACGCACTTAAAAAACAAAAAAAACACTTTAGGTTCACCGGGTGACGCTGCATCGCATTACCTGCTCAGTGGAAACGCACACACACAAACACATTTCATTCCAGAAGTAGGTCAAAAACACTTCTCGAGACTACACTGGCGAGGAAGGAAGGCGCTGTTTCCATGGTAACCGGGGGGGGAAAGACTGCCTTGTCATCATGTAGCATGAACATATGATCCCTGCATGTAATTCCCTGTGTCTGCCTGTGATTACAGCCTCGTGACCTAGCATGATTACAAAACGTCCTTCCTTCTACGTGCGTGTTTTGTTTTCACATCGCATCGTATGAAAACGTACGAGGTGACGCGCCTTCAAACGAACTATTCATTTATTTAACCGATTGGATCGTACATATCCGAGAATGTAAGACGAGTAGGATAGTATGCGGCCATGCACAAAGCTGAATTAAAACTCAGAATATCAAATTGTTGTTCCTGGTTTACACATTAGGTCACTCCACGAACATTTTATCCACACATTTGTTTTCAGGATTTGTCAACTTTTTATCTTTTAAGACTGGGTTTACTTTTCTGTTTTCCCTCTTTGATCAGTAATGATGCATCTAACAGGACTGTGTGATGAATAAAGTCAATTTTACAGCTACAGAAAGAGTCTCAAAGTTGTGGACAACAGCCCCATCTGGTGGAATAACACTGCTGGTGCACTGCTCTTGAAATTTATACCTACAATAAATTAAACTTTAAATTCAAACAATAAACGAAATCAATGAATAACATTAGTTTCAAAGGAGGAGGGTTTTGTTTTTGCAGTTCAATGCTGAAGCCTTAGCATGTTTATTAAAGCACAGAATAATCTATATTTACAGAAATACCTGAGTTGTCTTCATCTTTGCGGATCTTTAGCTTGACCAGCTCCTCACACTGCTGCAGGATCTGCTCGGCATCATCTTTGGAACAGTTCTCCAGTCTGATGTTGTCGATGGCCAGCAGCTTATCACCGGGCTCCAGCGTTCCTGTTCTGAAGGAGAGAGAAAGAAAGAAAGGCAGCGGCAGAAACGGATATTATAAGCTCCGCTGTGGCTGTAGAAAAAGCATCCTTTGTCAGATTTCTGCCAAATTGAAGTCACACAACAGACTCTGTACTGTGCAAGTAAAATCTAAAACTACAAGACAAAGATCTCGGCCAGTACGTGGCGGCATTTGTAATTAACATGAGAACAAATACATTCTTAGAGTAGCATCATAGTCGTGGTAGTAGCCAATAACGGCTTTAAAATACGAGCGTCTGCCTGAAATGAACACAGATGGACAGATAATGACTGTCAGTGTAGAAGGTAGAGGTTGAATATGTCACATAAAAACAAATACAGCATGCTTGATATGAAAGTTGAAGTAGTTTTCTAATTTGGCGTCGTAAATATGTACATTTGGACAGCACTGTATTTTACGTCTGCATCTGCCAGTGGGTCATAACAATAAGAGAAGGCATAATAATAATATTTTAGTTCCACTACAGGAGAGATTTTATGATGAGGAGGGAAAATATGAGCGTACATCTGCAATCTGGTCAAAATGAGATGGAAAATGTTGGCGTATTAGCAATAAACCGACACTCTGCATGCCTAAAATAGAGTATTAAAGTTCAGTTTAATGATATATATGTAACATATGAAATATTCTAGACAGCCAGACTTCACCAAATGAAACATCCTACAGACGAACATCCCAGACTAGACTCTGAGATACCTGTGAGCCATGCTGCCCTTCTTGATGTCAGAGATGATAAGGGGCTCCCCCGACTTCTTACTGGCTGTGGAGGGAAAAAACATCACAATGAGAAGCAGCAGCAGCAACAACAACAACAACAAAGCACAACACTGCTGTCAAAAGCAGGAGTTACTCCTTCCACCACTGCTACAACAACATTATAATAACAGTAATCATTACCAGCAGTGACAATTGATTTAATTGAAGCAAGCTGTTAACCCTTTGAACCTCAAAATTCACAAGTGGGTTTGAAAGGCATATGCTTTATTTACATTTTATTTTTTCTAAATACACCATTTCTCATAGCAAGAACTGTAAAAACAGGATGATTCACAGGATTTCCAGCAGTCCTTGAACCTTGACTTTCTGTTTGATGAAGAAAAAAACACACAGCCAGGCTGAAAACTGGGATTTTCAGCAGAATCACTACATTCGACACGTCTCTCTCTCTCTCTCTCTCTATATATATATATATATATATATATTTTTATAAATGCCCAAAATAAACAATTTGCAGTACCCAGACACAACTTTAAAAAATAAAAAATATTCCGTCATCGGCACAACTGCCAACCCTTCGCGCCTCAGCTATGATCA